TAGAAGAAAAATCGATAATTTTGACCCATACAATGTATTATTGGCTATTGCTAATACCTGTGCTACTTATGACTGGTTTTGTGGTCCAGGGTCACATATAATACTATTATTATTATTATTATTATTATTAAAATAGAAACCATTTATTTTAAATTGTAACAATATTTCACAATATTGCAGTTTTTACTTCAATTTTGATTAAAAAATCTTACAGACCCCAAACTTTTAAACGGTTGTGCAACAAAGTTTGTACAGGTAATTATTATCCTATTATCATTATTTTATATTTCTTAAATTTGCAAACAAGACACTTGGAATCTTACAGCTGATTAAAAGCAGTAATTATGTTGGTCAGATCTGTGATATGTATTGTGAAGTGCACATTCTAAGCTTTTAAATTACACCTTTTTTTTTGAGAAGCTTCTTAATTAGTATTTTAATAAGGGTGTTAATGAATTAGCTAGCTGCAGCAGTTTTGAGAGGGTTAAAATTTGAAAGTGAAAAAAAAAAATGTGTCCGTTCCAGCCACAACAAGCTGCTGATTAAAGGCAGAGTAAGTGATTTCTGGTAGCCAATGTTGATATTTGAAATCACCAAAACAAACACGCCCCTACCCCAAAAGGGTCTTGCCCCTATTTTGATAGCTCCGCCCCACATATACGTACGCAACCCAGGCAACGATTAGTTCTGTGAAACAAAGCAAAACCAATGTTACACCGTGTCTACGGACGTGAGCGACGCAGCGCAACAAATCCCCGACAGGAAACTGCTGCCGGGTTCTATTTGTGACGTGTTGACACACATTTCAAATGGTTTTCAACGGTCGTTTGATCGCGTCCAGTGTAGGCAGACTTTAGCTGTTGTAGACACGGTGTTACTCACCTATTGAAAAGAAACAAAGCAACCTCGGCGTCCGATCGCAGGCCTCCGCTCCTTGAGTTCTCTCCAGCGCTGGAAAGCTGATCCGATATTTACACGGGTCCTACTTCTTGCCTTATCGTTCCGCAGACGTTTTCCTCTTGTTTTTTTATCCGCCATCTCTATCTTTCTGTCGCTCGGCTAATGTCCGTCCCATGCACTGAACGCGCTCTCCTCCACATCACGAGTAGACACACCCCTTATTGCTGATTGGCTACAAGTTTGTTTTGCGATTCGGCCCGAATCAGTTTTCTAAAGTGTTTTTGAAAAATCACATACCCTGCCTTTAAAGGTGTTTGTCATCCCAGAAATTCCATAATTGGCACATTCTCATATCCTGTTTTGTGTATCCTTTTTCAGACCAAACTGAAGTTGGTGAATGAGGCGGAGTATCCCTTCAAAGACATGGCTGGGATCTGCCAGTACTTTCCTCAGTCTCACGCTGGAGTGGCAGTGAGGAATTACTCAGCTTATGACTTCAGGTAATGGATGTAGCATGCAGATGGCTTGAGCTTTACATCAACAGTCAGCTGTGCCATTGCATTAAGAGCAGTGTAGACCTCATGTACTATTAAAATTCAAGGTTGAAGTTTGTCGGGATGTGGGCCAATGTTTTATGTTTACTCATCTGTTCTTGTCAACTCTGTTTGCAACTCAGGGTCAGGTGCTGAACGGCCACTGACTGTACACTCACAAAGCTCACGAACCACTGGTCAAATACCAAACCAAACACTTCTGACCTGTGCTTCGCTGTCTTACATTTGTGCCAGATGTCACTCTGTGTCTTACATAGTGTTCTTATTGTGACAAGACAGTTTTTGTCTTAACCAACTGGGTCAACCAACGAGCCGGTTTGCATTGTTTGGTTTCGAAAGTGACAGCAAAGACTTTTGAACTTTCTATTAATCTAAAAATACTGAAAGCTATGTTTCACAGTTTGCACAAAAATATTAAGCAGCACAACTGCTTTAAATGTTGATAATAATACAAAATGTTTCTTGAACACCCAATCAGCATATTAGGATGATTTCTGAATGATGTGACTCTAAAGACTGGAGTAATGATGCTGAAAATTCAGCTTTACCATCACAGGAATAAATTACAGTTGAAAATATATTGAAATAGAAAACAGTTATTTTAAATTGTGCAGTATTTTTGTGTTCAATTTGGAAATGAACTAGTAATCAATTAAGTAAATCTAAGTATTGTGTGCAGAGTCCCATGGGATTGTTACAGTTGAAGTCAGAATCTGCAGAATGTTAATTATTTTACCAAAATAAGAGGGAACATACAAAATTCATGTTATTGTTTATTTAGTACTGACCTGAATAAGATATTTCACATAAAAAATGTTTACATACAGTCCACAAGAGAAAATAATAGTTGAATTTATAAAAATGTCCCAGTTCAAAAGTTTACATCCCCTTGATTCTTTATACTGTGTTGTTACCTGAATGATCCACAGCTGTGTTTTTTTTGTTTAGTGATATTTGTTCATGAGTCCCTTGTTTGTCCTGAACAGTTAAACTTACTGCTGTTCTTCAGAAAAATCCTTCAGGTCCCACAAATTATTTGGTTTTCCAGCATTTCTGTGTATTTGAACCCGTTCCAACAATGACTATGATTTTGAGATCCATCTTTTCACACTGAGGACAACTGAGGGACTCGTATGAAAACTTTTTGAATTTGAAGATCAGAGTAAATGTAACTTATTTTGTCTCCTGGAAAACATGTATGTATCTTCTGCAGGGCAGTACTAAATGAAACAAATATATTTAGGCAAAATAAGAAAAATGTACACATCTTCATTCTGTTCAAAAGTATTCTTTCTCTGTTCAAAAGGCTCTTAATGCATGGTTTTTCCTTCTGGAGCATCTGTGAGCATTTAAACCTTCTGTAATATTTGCATATGAGTCCCTCAGTTGTCCTCAGTGTGAAAAGATGGATCTCAGAATCATACAGTCATTGTTGGAAAGGGTTCACATACACAAAAATGCTGGAAAACCAAAGAATTTGTGGGACCTGAAGGATTTTTCTGAAGAACAGCAGGCAGTTTAACTGTTCAGGACAAACAAGGGACTCATGAACAACTATCACTAAACAAAAAAACACTGCTGTGGATCATCCAGGTAACAACACAGTATAAAGAATCAAGGGGATGTAAACGTTTGAACGTTTGTTTTTATAAATTCAACTTTTATTTTCTCTTGTGAACTGTATGTAAAAATCTTTTATGTGAAATATCTTATTCAGGTCAGTACTAAATAAACAATAACATGCATTTTGTATGATCCCTCTTATTTTGGTAAAATAATTAACATTTTGCAGATTCTGCATGGTGTATGTAAACTTTTGACTTCAACTGTATGTTGTTGTAGTGGACAGGAGGAGGTGATGATGAGTGTGCTGGTGGAGTCGGGGCCTCTTGTTGTCATTGTGGATGCCATCAGCTGGCAGGATTACCTGGGCGGCATCATTCAGCACCATTGCTCCAGCCACAACGCCAACCATGCCGTCCTGATCACCGGTTATGATACCACAGGTACACACACACAGACACGGGTGGTTAAACACTCTTTACATGTGCCGCAGAGCATATAAAGGTTCAGAGCGCTGGCCTTCACGGATTACGTCCTGTCAAGGGCACAAAATTGAGCAGACACTGGCAAACACTGGCTGTGCGCCAACATCCCAGAAAACTGCCTGATGTGTCTGCACTATAAGCAGCAAGCTGTCCGCAGCGTTTATCCTCTGCGATGATTTGTTTTCTCTTGTTTGTTTACTAGTTTAAATTAGGTACTTTCAGGGTAAAGTAGAGAAATTGATGCTTCGTGTCATGCCAAAACTGTTACTGCGAGCATTATCAATCATTTCATACCGTTATACTATGTAGAATGACTTGTTATTAATCATTTCCCATTTTAGGGTATATTTTCAATGATGTGTCTTCATATTTTGTCACAGGGGAAGTGCCGTATTGGATAGTACGCAATTCATGGGGGACCTCATGGGGTGACAATGGATATGCTTACATAAAAATAGGGAATGACATGTGTGGTAAGTTTATATAGTGACCCACTTTTAATGCTTTTTTACCTTGTTGACAGTCACAGTGATACACGCAATACATTCTGCTGCTGTGAGGCATTGTGTGCGTTCATAAATATTCATGAAATGTTTGGACGTTGGCAAGCAGTCAATACTGTGTGTAATGTAAAAATCGAATCATAAATTCTTAGTTGATCATGTTTAAATTCATATCAGATGATTTGGAAATGATGTAGCGAGGTTATTTTGAAGTCGTGATCTTGTTTGTCAGTTGCTTTGAATGACTTTATGCAATGTCAGATGACACTCAACAGCCACTCTTTCTCTTTTCCCAGGCATTGCGGACAACGTTGCTGCTGTTTTTGTGTAATTGTCAATAATCTTTGTACTTCCGTGAAAAGACCATGGCAGATCGACATTTTAAAAATATCACCCTCAGGACGGAAATCCTCCGGTGTAGCTGATGAGAATTGTAAAAATTCTCACGGGGATGCGGATAACAAATCCTATTGCCTCTCGAATGCAAAGTAGGCTGCTATTTGAGCTAATACACCACATTCCTAATCCCAGCCACTGTAGCCCAAAATAATCGCATTCAGAGCCGCATTCTATTTTAGTTATCACACACCAGCTAGATTTGTCCATAAGTATGTTTTAATCTGTAGAAAACACTGTTGGTGAATACAAGTGCACAACTGAACACGTATTGTATTGTGACATTGCACTGATATAGGACACAAGTGAACTCATCTACAAAAATGTGAAAATATTATTAGATGTGAATACTAATTACAGCCCTGAAGAGTTTTGCAAGAAAAAGTGCTTATTACTACAGTATGTACCAGATATTTAAAATGTTCTGCTTTTATAAACATTTTTAACTACAAAGTTTACTTTTTATTCTGTTTTACAGTTTTGTATTTGCTAATGCATTTTAAAAATAATCAGAAATGTTTACGTATAGTATATAAACACTATTCTATCCAAGTTTACTTTTTTTTTTTTTTTCAAATAAACAAGAAGTTTCTCTATAGGTGTGTATTTTATTTACAAAACAGAAATCAGTTTATTACATGTTAAAATATTATATTATATTGACAATATATACACAAGTGCATCATTTTAGATATTTTGTTGCCGCTGTTGTTAAATTGACTTTTCATATTCATATCTTTTCAATTCATATTCTAGTACTGCTGTAAAATCAGCACAGCTTTGTAGCCTCTCATTCTGTCATTTAAAAAGTTTTTGGTGACAAATCTTGGTGATGGTAGACTTGTGAGGTGTGGAGCTTTTTTTTTTCTTCTGTACTCTGCAAACGCTGTCCATCCTTTCCTCATGCCTCCATCTGTTTAGTCTGAGTCATCGCTGCTGCTGCAGTAGGAGCTGTCGCAGCAATCGGCCATGTACAGGAAGGTGTGCTCACTCGGGTCCAGTTTGGGAACCCACTCCCTCGGAACCAGGAAGGTGGCCAGGTTAAACAGATCCACAAACACCTTGTAGCGATCACTGGCAAAACATACATAAGGCTTATCAATACATCCTGTTCTTGTTTTTAAGTGGTTTGTGTTTAGAAGGTTTGCATATTGCTGCCAATTCACATTTTCCAGCATTGTTTCACATGGATAATTCCAACAGATGCAGAGTGTTTCATCTGAAGACTGGATTTGTCCCAGATTATTTGGCCTACCTGACAGTGGAGCGCAGGTACTGATAGCCTGATGAGCCACCTGTGCCGTCTTTACTGCCAATCATTCTGTGAACCATACACACGTGGTTGTCTAGGGGAAAATTCCGGCATAAATTATGCAGGAAGTAAAATAAAATCATTATTGATATGCAAAAGAAAATCTTTAGTTCTATTTATTCAGTGTTGACATTCCTAATAGGCTTTGCCCGACAGGGTGTTTTAGGTCAGGTTTATTTGTTGTTCTGATGCTTTATGTTTTCAGTGGTGTCACATACATCTCCATTTTGTCATGAGGGTGTCGATGTCCATCAGAGATGTCAGGAGCTGGAAAGGAACCTGAAATCGAGGCTCCTCCCTGAGAGCAGATGGCGATAAATTGAGTTACAAATGAGCTATCAGAAAACATTTTCAGGAAAAGTACCATGGTATTCTTTTAAGTGGAGTATCATGTAAATAGTAAATAAATGGCAAGTATCATTCAGTACCATGACATATGTCAAGAAGTATCATATTATATCTGATTTTAAAAGTATATTTGTAAATGTTAAGGTAATGTTTTGTAGTAGGCCTATTTTTCAGACAAGCGAGTCAAATTTAACTTGGGTTGGTTTTCAAATATGTAAGTTTTCAACACTATAGCAATACCAATAACATGAACTAACAATGAACAATACTTTTACAATATTTATTTATCTTGGTTAATGTTAATTTCTACATACAGTTCTATATTTTTTAAAATAACACATATATATATATATATATATATATTGTTAATTGTAAACTACTACATACAGATCTATATTTTAGCACACACACACACACACACACACACACATATATATATATATATATACTGTATATTGTTAATTGTAAACTACTGTTCAATGTTAGTGTGTTACCTAATGCATTAAAAGTTAATATACACTACTATTCTTAATGATTTTATTCAGCAAAAAAATTATTTAAAGTGCCCCTATCATGGATTTTTGAAAATTACCTTTCATGCAGTGTGTAACTCAACTCTAAGTGAATGAAAACATTCTGCAAAGTTTGAAATCTGAAAGTGCACCGTGTATAAAGTTATTGTCTCTCAAAAGAAAGAGTCGACTCTGAATCATTGAAACCAGTAGTCTTTAAAACAAATACCAAGCAGTTTCATGTTGACGTCAACATGAAACATTAGCATATTTCCCGCCCACTTGTTGGTCTTTTCGCATTGGTCTGAATGAAAATGCAAATTCATTATTTGTTACTAGGTGCCGCTTTTGGAGCAGTAAAAATATCGGTTTCCTGGTAACGCTGTACACAAAGCAGCACTGCGCTCACAAACACTGCTTTAGCAGGCATTACAGGCAAGATCCAATTGACCAATTACCGCAGATTAGAGGCATGCAAAGGAGGGGTTTGGAAAAATGAATCGTTGAGCGAATCTTTTGGGAGTAGTTGAGCAAATGAGGTAAAAAAAAAATGCATATTATAAAACAATGAAAGTTTTTTTTGACCTTGCATGCATGTCAACCTGTTGTTGGGGACTCCCAAAACTAAAATATGAACCTTTCATTAGGCCCAAAATAGGCTGGGGCACTTTAAATTGGTCGAAAGTAACAGTTAAAACACGTATATTGTTACAAAAGATTTCTACAGTATGAAAATGATGTTCTTTTGAACTTTCATCAAAGAACCCTAAAACTTATTTCACAATTGATAAGAAGACATGTTTCTTGAAGACCAAATCAGCATATTAGAATGATTTCTGAGGGATCATGACACTGAAGACTTGAGAAATGGCTGATGGCTTTGCCGTCGCAGAAATAAATTATATTTAAAAATATATTTAAATAGAAAACAGTTATTTAAAATTGTAAAAATATTTCAAAATATTACTATTACCTCTTTTTTATTTTTATTTTATTTTAACGAAGCCTTGTTGAGCATAAAGAGTCATAGAACAGCATCTTTTAACTGATTTTGTGATTAAATTAGCAGGTCGTCCTGCAGATAGATGTACCTGTAGAAGTAGATCATCAGTGCTCCTTGCAGTGCTTTATAGGACAGTCTCCTCTGACCTGCACAGACAGATGATATTCACTTGTAACCACTAGAGGATGTGTCACTTGACGTTGTATCTCTGCAGCGTCTCGAGCGCTTTGCTGACCTGTGCTTACTAAGTGATCATGTCTTTTCACATCAAAGAGCGATAAGAAAATGTCTCTCTGCTTAATGAGCTCGGCCATCATCTCCTCTTTCATCTCGGAGGCTGGTTTTTGCTATTAAGAGGAAACAAGAGTTGTCACTTACAACTTAGATGTGAGCATTGCACAGAATTATCCAGGGATCCTCCACATACCTCTATTTGTTCCTTCTCTCTCCTGAGCCCCTCAAAAATATTGGTTTCCAGTTTCCCCCCAAAATTAAAGCCATCTTCCTCCAAGCCGGGCGTTCTCTCCAGCCATTGCTGGAAAGTATTGATTGCTTATGAGAAATGTTAATCAGCAGGTTGCTGTCTGTTAGATTAACCCTGACTTGATATATAAATTGGCTACGTAACCTATTCCTCTCTGAATACCAATAACCTGCAATGAAATCCAGTAAGTTATGGTTCTCGTGCTGAATTTCATTGATTAATACAGTATTCATGACTTCACAGCTAATATTTCATCTTATAATGTCATTTCCCTCAGGTTTACCTCCACTAACTGCAGCAGCGTGGGCTCCTGCTCTGAATGCAGGAGCAGCTCACTTTCCTGGTCACGGAAATTGTCCCGGTAATGCCTTCTGTTGTAGGGGACCCTCTGGTTGTGCGGGACCCCAATCTTGTTTTCCAACAGTCGAAACTGCAGGCTCTGGAAGCCTGAAGCAGGTGAGAGATATTCCCTGTGTACAAAAAAACGCAGATCAATCGAGCTAAATGCAATTATGCTAAACACTGCCATTGATTTTGATTTAACAAATTAGTGCCATCTAATGCTTATTTACTGAGTTAGCTATCTCCCGTCTCTTGAGTGGTAGCACATTTCCAACAGCAAGTTTGCCCAAACAATTCTGTTATCCAGGAAATGTAATACTTGTTTTCAGTAATTGTTTGGCAGTGAGACTTAAAAAAAAAAAAAAGTATTAGGAATCGAAATAATGAGAAATATATACACCTTACCTGAAGTCATAGAAGTCTAAGGCAGTCCTGGTTTCCAGAACAGCAAACTGGTCAAGCAATAATCTGAATATCATCACAATCCTGTGGATGCGAGTGTTGACTTTGAGCATGTTTCGTTCGTCACGTACCTGAGGAAATATGTAGTACATTTCGATTCATTTTCAGCAGTCTTTATAAAGTCCCTGACACATGACATTAACTAGAGACGTATCTTAAAACAGACTGAAGGTGGCAGCGTCATGCTGCAGTGCACATCCTTTCTTTGAACTAAACTACATACATCAGAAAACTGAAGGTTTGGGCTGTTCATCTTTGTCCTGAAGGCCCCAAAACAATAAATGAACTGAATTTTTTATTAGGTTTAGAAGCATGCATGTGTGGCGCTTTGACAAGAATCCCAAATATCTCCAGCTGGGGATGAGAGAACATTTTTGTTTCATGGAAAGCAAGCCGAAAAAGTCTGAAATTACCATTTTAAAAATAGAACATAAAACTAACTAGTTCACTCTTTGCCATTAAAATCTGAAATGCATGCATTTCCCAGTGTTAATTAAGTTGGCAACTAAGGAAGAATCACATGGTGTTCTGAACATACAGACCATTATAATAAACTTTAGATTCCAGGGCTGCTCGCCAATTAATCATGAACTATTTTAGGGGAAGCTATGCTTTACGCTTATTAAAATATATAAACAAATATCATTAATAAGCATGCACTAATGTGTAGTTTACCTGCAGATAGTCACCGTAAATACGACCTCCTTTGCTGGCCTTATTAACTCCAGTCTGAGAATCGTCATTCTCATCTTCTTTCAGATGCTGCTTACTGGTTGACCTGTATTTTCATCAAATGCATCAACAGCAAATACACTTTTGAAAAGACACTTTTGTGTACAACACTCAGTGTAGGTTTGTCTTCTGGTTTCAGATATGGCAGAAACATTATCTTCTACATTTAAGGGAGAATTGTGGCTTTGAGATTATCATTATCATCTAAATATGTTGAACGCTTAAAATACATACACGAATTTCTTCTGAAAATAAGGACATCCACTCATGGCTGAAATGTAAATATGAGACAAGCCGGATTGTTTTCGTTCCCTCCACTTCAAAAAGGCAGATCTCAAGGATGTTGAGACGTTTTATAACGTCCCCCCCCCCATGCTGACTGACCAATCGCCTCTAGATCCATCCCTCCTCCCTTCTGTCCATGATCAACCCCGTGAACATGGTGTACTTTGTCTTTTTCTTATCTTAGGTGAAATCCAACTGAAACAGGCAAATTGAAACAGAACTTTGACTTCATAACATTATGAGCAGGGCTTTTGTACATAAACTGAACGTATGGGATCATGTCAGAGGGTTCAGATGGACCTAGGTAGTTGAATTTAAACAGCGTTCCTATATTTACTCCCATTAAAAATGACTGAATTACATCTTATTTCTACTGAACAGTCTTTTTACAAATGTGACATATATAGAACAATTTGACATACCAGTATACTCCAATATAAACTTTAACTCATTATGTCTATTAATGAGCGTCAGTGTTACTTTAGTATTATGTATACACTGTTATACCTTCTTATATTTTATATTAGTACTTCAACTTATTTCAGTTATTTTGCAGTGCAACATTTGTAATTTTTAAGTCTATGAAGTTTTTTTTATTTTTTATCAAATATTTATATTTTATTATATTTCAGCTTATTTCAGTTGACACATTTTTTTAACAGTTTTAGATTTGAGTTATGTATTTGCAGCTTTTTTATATTTTTATTTTATGATATTTTCCTTAATTTTATGTACGTGTTTTTTTTCCCCTGAAGTTTGACGTGCTAAATTTGGTTCGGTTGCACAAAATGATAATGTTTGACATTTGATTATGTCAGTGATCTATTAAACAAATAAATGTACCTGCTTACACTGTCCATTGTGCTTCTGTTTTAGGTTTTTGAAGATCAGTATCCGTGTGCACTGGATGCAGAAGGAACGTTTTAAACGATGGCAGTCGACACGAATGGTGAGTCATGCGTCATTTGAGTCATTTACATTCACTGAATCATTTCCGCGGACTCATTTATGCCTGTATACTTGGAAAAGCTCGTATGAGAGAATCTGGGATGATTAAACCGTTTATAGAGCCTTTGATGATCTGTCTTTGTATTATGTGTAAATATACATGCTTTTCAGCTGAATTGTGGGTAACAGGTGAACTCTGGCTGGCCAGAACAGCTTGTGAAAGGTTAGAGGGTTTGGAATGAGAGTCTGAGGATCTGATGTGTGTGTCAGAGACAGACAGCAGGCTTGTCTTTGTGTCTTGTGTCCTTGTAAACACACAGCTTGCTCGGGCACCAGAGTTTGCTGATATTGAGCGGTCTGTGACAGGGATTGGGTGTCGCTGTCTTCATACCTTTTGAGAAGAGTTGGCTAATCCATCAAATCTGCCACTTGGGGAATAAGCAACACAAAAACGGCTGTCGGAGACAACACTGTACAGAAATGAGTGACCTTCATAAACCAAAGGATTCAGTTTAACTGGGTGGGAATAAGCGGTAAAATGAGTCAACCCATTAGGAAATGTGTTGCAGGGACTTGATTGTGCATAAATGTTGCGTTTGAGGGCAGTGTTAAATCAGGAGCCGGGGCAGAACAGTATGGTGCATCGTGGATTTAACCAGAAAACAGAGACCATGGCTAATACGGGTGATCCAGGGAAGGTTTTTCCTCACTGCATTTGCATATCATTAGCATGCATTGCACTGAAACAACTCAGTGGTGTTGGTGATCATCAGACCTAGCCTGGCTCACTCATGCATTTCCTAAAGGAAGTTCATTGTGTCTTTTATATATATTTATATTTATAAATCCACAACACGTTATTAAAATCATTTATGCCATTATGGATTCCATCATACGGGCCTTCATCCCAGCTTCAGTTAATTTGTTTGAGTATGGGGTTTGCTACGTGTCTCTCTAGCTTTCCAGCAGAATATATTTTGCAGTCTTGGGACCCGCAGATAGCTCCAGCTCAAAAGAGGACTTTACGTAACGCCTCACTTTAAAAGTACAGCCGTGTTATGTAATCTCATGTTCTACTTTACTCTCTTGCTATAGAATTGATCAAGTTCCTGCTGCACGTATATGTATGCTTATTCACAGTCATGCATTGGGTTCAGATGTCGGTATGTGAAAATCTATTATTTGTTAACCCAGCATTAAGGCATAGCTGCTGAATTCGGCTCTGTTTCTGCTATGTCTTTATGGAATAAAGGTTTATTACTTCTTGAATGTATTCTAAATCTCCACCAAAAAAGTACATCGCTACTGCGTACAAAACAATTAGGCAACAACACAAAGCAAAATCTTACTTAAGTCCTCTGAGCTATTTTTTTTTCTAGAATTAATAACTGAAGCACAAAATTCCACGAAAAGGGCGGATTGCTTTATGGCAGCAGCAGTCGTGTACAGCTAGTGCTATATTTACGGCAGTGAATTCTACTCATCTGTAGGGGGCTCCAAACTCACAAAACAAACAAAACTACATACAGTTGCTTTAAATGTGTACAGTTTACGTTGGAGCACTCAGCACTGTCATTTTGGTTTTTAGAAAACTTATTTCGAAATAATTCTATGGCTTTGTCTTGAATGATGCATTATAAATTATGCATTATGTACCATCTATTGTACAACTTTTAGAAGGTTTTACTAAGGAAAGTGACAGTTGAGAGTATTAAGCATCCATAATTGTACACTTCTGCTGGGTTTTATTTATTTAGTAGGTTAATGTGTATTTGAAGTGCACTTTTTTTATTGTTGAAATTTTCAGTGTGAACAATCTAATCAGTATTTATACTACAAAATGGCACAGAATAGTGCTTAAGTACACAAATTGAGACACACCTATTTTTTTGGCAGTAACCAGTTCAAAATGTCGGAAGATCTTAATTACGGAGCAGTAACTCTAGAATCTGTGTGATGTGGCAAGTAAATGTATGTAGAAAGAAATGAAGGTTATAGCACAAGATTTCTCTCTAGATAAGCAGAGCTGGTCTCTTACAGGTACAAAGGTCAAAGATAATTCTGCTTGCTTTTTTAAAGCTGAAATTGTTGATTTTTTTTAGGAACAGTAACTTTTTATTTTCATTATTGTGCTTAATAAGTGTATATTTTCTAACAGAATATTGTTAAATGTTCAGACATCTTAACACACATTCCCATAAACCTCATACATACATTTACAACCTAAATGTGGAAAGCCTCAATACACCGTCTGTTGCTGTCTGCACATCCAGACACTTCCACTTTGCCTGATCATCAACAATTTTTAGTCTGAGAGCTTGAATAAATCATGAACATGTGCAGCTGACCAAGTATTATGTTGACTTTAAAGATGATATCTGCAAGAAGACACTGTAATATCAGTGGTGATTATCGCTCAGTTAGATGCATTGTGTCTGTTCATCCTAACAGAAAATCTGAATAAGAAAACATATCTGTTTTATGGTCTTAGAATTGCCTGCAGTTAAATGCTGCAATTACCACATCATGTATTGATACAGTTTTGTGATGCACTTGTGTGTTCATAAACCAATTTTAAATGGCTAGAAGGTTGTTGTAGAAATCACATGATAGTGGGTTTACAAGTTGCAGTGACTCAAGCAAATTTTCAGGCTCTGTGATCCTGACTTTCTGCCTTTGATCACTCATTAATCAGATTTTACACAGAGAGCAATTATAAATTTAAGTTAATATTTAGGGATTACCATTAATCGACCCACTATTGCAGAAGCAGATGAAAGACAGTTTTACTCATGACTCAAGCAGTTTTGCCTTTGATTAAAATGAATTCACATAACCTCTCACATCTAACTTCAGACTTCCCCAGTGCAATTCTTAGTTCATCAATATAGAAAAAGCAGTTTAGCGCTAGTGGACAAAAAGGTTTTTCATAGGTTATTGTTCTGCCAAGACCATGAAACTAGGCCAAAGTGTATCATGCACTTAATGAACCTGATTTTAATTTAATCTGTGCTCAAAGAAATAAAAGCTTTAAAAAGTAATTTTATCATTTATTTTCTTTTAAGTACAAACAATTTTCATAAATATTTCCCTTGGGACCTGTAACCAAATGAGCAAATAATTGCTTTTAATTAAAAAAAAA